CATATAAAAGTTAATATATCAAATAATGGTCAAATATCAATACTTCAACGTGTTATACTCAATTTTATAAAACAAAGTTGGGTCTTCGATTATTTACCCTTTAAAAATTGTTAAATTGTACGTTAAAATCTAAACCAAATTTTTTCATGGATTAATTGTCATTAGTAAGATCTACATTTTGTCCAAATTTCATCCATTCAAATCGATACGTTTTGGAAACAAAATGAAATTTCTTAATTTTTAACACAGTGAAGAACAAAAAATAAAAACAAAGCAATGGATGAGATTTTTTTTTAAAGTATCCATTTAGATGTAGAAATAAGGTAAATTGTTTCAATTGATTTCTTGAACCCTTGCAAATCGACCTTTTGATTCTTTCGCGAAATCGTAGTTAAATTCAGCTTTATTAGTGTGTTATGGTTACATTACTGGATTTTATACGTAAACATATTTTAAGGTTATACAAATAAAATGAAATAATAAAACATCCATTTGATACTACATTAAAATAATAATTTTGCTGACTGAAATTTGCCAATTGAAATACCTAACTGAAAACATCCTCTCAAATAAACAGCCAAAATTATGTGGTATAAATTTCCTTTGTTTTCAGTGGCCACCAAATATTATAATAGCGTATCTAACTGTACATAATTCTGTTTTATTACGAAAGTGCGGAATCTTGTTAATTAGTTCCCTTACATTTACAAACGTTGGCCAATTCGATGCCCAAGTAACTGAAATTAACGAAAACAATTTGAACCGTTAGCTTCACAAACAGCAAAGGTACGAATAAATTTTAATTGTGTGGGAATGCAGACAAAATTTTATAATTAATTATTATTAAAAGTTTCTTTTAATTATTTTTTTATTTCATAAGTTTACTTTATTAACAAATTGAGAAATATAAACTGAATCCCAACTGGTACATCTCTAAAAGTGAAACAGTGAAATTATCACTATTTCCGTCAGTGAGTTATTATTCACTGTAAAATTAGTGTTTTTCAATATAAATTAGTGAAATCTTAACTTCTCCAAATTGGTGTTTTTTATTATCACTACTTTTCCGGAACTCTAGTAAAATTTTAACTTTTTGAACTAAACCTATTTCACTAATTTGTACAGTGTAATTTCCACTAAATAAATTAGTGCAAAGAAATCGCTACATGAACAAGTGACTATTCACTAATTGCTAGTGGTATACTTATCACTGCGGCAAATAGTTAATATGCACTGTCAATCAGTGAAAATCCACTGTTTCATTTTTAGAGAGTACACTGTTCAAAATTTCATGACCATTTTAACACCAAATTAACACCATACAAGGTCTAAATCGATACAAACCAAAATTGTGTTAAATATGGTTTGTTGGTCCAGTGTAAATTCAAATACTAAAATAGTGTAAATTTTCAGTGTTATATATTATGTGTTTTTATTTAAATTAAATCATACTACACAGAAAAAAAGGGAAAAAAAGGAAACAGGAAGTTCCTTGACGCATAACTAGTATATTACCAGTGGTATTATTCCAGAAAATTGAACCTTCAACTCGCTAGAGATAATGTTTTTAGTGCGTTCCACCAACTTAAAATACTTCAAGTATTGACAGCTGTTTCCACCTATTCAAGGCCTCTTTAGAATCGAACAACTTGTAGTGTCACACCAAAGCAAAGGACTGCCTGAGCTTATATACTCTTCATGTAAGTCAACAGAGGCGAGATTTAAGAACATCACGTGATCCACACCGCCTTTGCAGCGATCGGTACACACTATGCAACCAGGAATGCACGGCAAATTTTTTAATCGTTTTAACAGGGTGCTTTAGGTTGAAGTAACTCTTATTTTACAAACAACATATTTAGTAAACTGAACCATACAGCGGGTTGGTTTCACTAAAGTTTTCTGGGTTAATTTAACCAATTTAAAAAAAAAAATATAACTATATGGTTTAGTACCGTCAAACTAATCTTTGTTTATATTAACCTTCCCACAGTTGATTTTAATAAATACTTTTGGGTCAACTAAATTAAATATTCCTTTTTTTCTGTGTAGGTGCACTTCTCAAATATTTTTAGATAAACAACGTTTTGATGTTTGCTGTATATAACATTTTCAACCATAATTCATGGTGTTTATATTAACACCACTTGGTGTTGGATTTTGACACAATTTTAAGATTACTCTTTACACCACAGATATTTTAAACAGTGTCCTAGGTAGATGTGAGGTGTTTTGGTGTCATTTCTTTGATCAGATTATTTTACCCATTTACCCCTTAAATATGTTTTACTTCTTCTTCTTATTATTCGCTACTCTCTGATGCAGTTGGTTCATTTGTATCGTCTGTCAGTGTATTTTGCTATTGCTCCCAATTTTCATCGTCATCTGATCATAGTTGGTTTAAATTAAGTATTGAATAAAATAACAAAGGAGTGGTATCACCATTTAACAGTATTCATCTAAAAATAAATTAAAATGTGTTAGGAAAACGCATAATTCAACTCATTGTTGCAACACGAAATTCCCTACTGTACAACTGAAATTAACATTAAAAAGAACAGCTTTAGGTGGCACTGGCCACTACACGCTAAGTAGTCTACACCGTAATTGTGCAAATGGTATAATTGGGCAGCGTTTCCATGGTTTTCTGTCAGTGACCTAAAGGTGGATCAATGGCCATCTACACCCACATCTGCAACTATCTTCAGCATGTTGCCAGCTACTTCTAATTTTGTTTGTGAATGGTTTCACTTTCCGTGTTTGTTAAATAAATTTGAGTTAGTATCATGTGTTATATATGAGTGCTCATTTATATTAATAAAGCCTTGCAAGGATGGTTTTAAGAGAGAAAGGAAGTTTTTAACATTAATGTTAATATTTTTTGTTGCTTTTATGCGAGTCTTGTAAAATTAGGTAATAAAGTAAACTACCAAGTTCAAAAAATGTCGTTAACCTGTATCCATTATATACAAGTTCAATGGCAAATAATACAAAGTAGGCAATTTCCCACATAATAGGTTATATTTACCTTAAATTTTAGCGTTTTTTTTTTTTAATTAATTGTTTTATGTTTTGTCTATTTGTTGTAGTATCTTTTAATAAAACATAATGATTTTTTTATTTGTCATCCACCTAATTTTGTAAAATGAAGGAAAAATATATATCCTTCTATTATTGTGGGAGTACTAGTAGGGGAAAGTGGAAAAATTTTAGATTTTTTTGCCTGGGTCTCTTAAAAATGTAATTATTTCTAATTTCAATGTTTCAGGTAATAGTGTTGACTTCTGAAAACGCAAAGAGATAAATATGTGCACTTTAAACCGTAAGATGGGTTTGCTACGAATTTTTGAAATTTTCCATCAAGGCTTCATCTTTATCTGTTTCTTTAAATCTGTATGATGGAAACTGCCTTTTAAGGAATTTGACTGTATATCCTCGGTTTAATTTTTGCAATATTCTGCTAACGAAGTGCCGGGACGATGTTTGGACAATAGAGGAAGACTCTAGACAGTGTGTTCAAACTCTCCCTACATGATGTGGAACAAAAAAAATGTTTTAATTTTAAAATATAGCAATGGAATAAAGTAAGGATATAGCAAAAGTTCCATGCTTTATACATGCTTTAATATGTAGTAACATTAAATTATTTATCTACAACGGTCTGGACAGAAAAGCTTACAAGGAAAAAGTAAAATATTACATGAAAAAACTCGAAAATAAACTTTTCCACTTACCTCTTTTACAGCTAAACTCAAACTTATTTCACTACCACTATTTGATACCTTACCAACTTGACGATCTGTAATAGTAGTACCAACCTGAAATTTTTACTGGAACCGCGAAATTTGAAAGTGTCCATTGTCTCCCAGTGTCCAAACCCTCCCCACTCTCCCCTACATACTTTTCAATTTTCATAGAAACAATAAATAATCATAATTATTGAATGTTCAATGCTTTGACAATAAACCACCAGATGTTTTAGCGGTTCTATAAAGTGCCCACAACATCTGTTAATTAGTATATTAATTAATTATATAATAATTTATTTATTTGTACAGGCATAGCAGTTATTTGATATTTTTATTTTCTTTGTTTTTTAATCATAACAAGAAAACGTTAAAAAACTTGGGTTCTAGGATTCCTTTAGAGTCCATATTATGCATAATGCCCAATGAATGAGCATTTAGATAAACTTAAAAACAACATGGCAGCGTACTTAAAGGAACATAGGAAACGTTTCCATCATGTTATGGACATCTAACGCTACTATCAAATACAATGCAATGAAAATATGATGAAAGACTATATTTTAGGTTTAATATGATAATCATGAATTATTAAAGTTGTACTCTATAAAAATTAATTAGTCAAAAATGACTAGTTTTCAAAGTGAAAAAGCAGTCACTAACTGTATAATGTTACAAATATAGTCACAGCAATTTGTATCCAGGAAATTTAACAGCCAATTCCTATGTAAAATTGTCCCCTGAATCAGAAAAGACCATAAATTATAAAATTAGAGCAGTTTTTGAGATATAGTCAATTTCATATTAAATGGAAAATTGACTTGGAGAATTATTGGTGGCTGCTTTTTCGCTATGACAATTTGTCATTTTTGACTAATTCATTTTTAGTCTGGTCTAAAAAAATTGCAAAATCAGAAACTTTTTATGTGATATTTTTTTATATTTGTAATATTACTTTTTACATATATTCTGAAAGTAAACTTTACATGTTTTATTTGTTAATTGTTAAATATTTATTAATGATCGAACTATTTGTAAAAAAAAAATGAAACATTATGGTTTGAAAGTTTATGAGCCAACATCAAGAGATGTTTTTTAATTTAACTGTAAACAAAAAAGTTAAAATATTATTGGCGAATAAAAAAAATAAATAATAATTTTATTTAAAATAGAGAAATCTTTGACCCCCTCGCATAATAATAATTTTAATTAAAAGTTAAATTGTTTACTAAAATATATTATTTTTTGTTTCAGATGTTAACGTTAGTTACTTTAGCAACATTCCTTTTGGAAATATGTAGTTCATCACCTGTATATAATATGCAACCAGCTTTTATAACTGCCAATATAGGTAAGAAAATTTAAAAATCTTGAAGTATTATGTCAAAATTGGTTAAATATAGAAATTTAAGATCATTTTTTTCGAATTTACATTTATACAATGCAAAATACATAAATAAGGGATTAAATTATACCCCGGAAGGCAACAACCATTTAAAAAGCTAATAAAAGCTATTAACCCAAAGTTATTTTTGCACGATGATATCTTAAACGTTATGAAACCTTCATTAAACTTTAAATTTGCTGCACTCCTTTTATTTTCAATGGGTTTATGTGACAAATAAATATTGTTGGGTCCATTTTAAACGCGGTCAGAAAATACAACAGTTATCTCGGTGGGCGTTTATATGTCACAGGGGCAAAAGCTGAACTTTTTCGCCTTAAATTTTTTTGTTGCCAATTAAACCCACACATTCTTTGTTCAATTTCATCTTTGGGATGGTGGAATGTTGATAGAATTCTTTATTGATGTGTCTTTTAAGGATAATAATATCATTTGTAATGTCTTTAAATTAAAATAATTTTATATAATCTATAAGTAGTTAATTAAAGGTACAAATTGCATGGAATAATAAATATATACAGGCATGGGCGCCGGAAAGAATTCGTCTAGGGGGGGCCTTAAAGTTTTTTACAATTTTGATAGATGTTATTTATAATCAATATGTACTGTAGAAGTTCACATTAAACTTAAGTCAAATAAAATATCATCTTTATATGTATATTTACCTATTTATTTATATTTATATAATATATTGGTACATATTGCAAAAAATACATCACAGTTTTTTGGTAAATATATAAATATAAAAAAATTGTATCTCCGAGGAATTTCCTCTAGTAGTACAGCCGTCTTATGTATACGCTATACAAATTATGATAAATTAAAATATAACAAAAAAATTAAATACAAACATCAGTAATATTTTAAAAATAACAAAAACTTAAAAAAATGTGGTTGCACTGTAGCGACTTTTTTAGGTAAGAAATATCGATGTTATGCTATAGCATGACATAGAGTAGTAATAACAGGATAATTATAAGCAATTTTTGTGTGTAACACGTCTTATTTTTTGTTTTGCAACACGCCTATTAGGTATTATGGTTATTTATAATATTATACAAATTATGGAGTACCGGAATTTCTGGGTATGAATTTCCAGGGGGGGGCCGGGCCCCCCTGCCCCTATGTAGCGGCGCCCATGTATACAGGGTGTTCCAAACATTTTACCCTATACATAACAGAGGTAAAGAAATAAAATGGGTGATTTCCCTCAAGATTTGGTGTGAAACAGTTGGGGCTAAGTATCTTAAATTTTAAGATACAGGGTGTTGAAAATGCAAAGAAAATTAAAATTAAAATTTCGTATCATTACCAATTAATAAAAGTGATGAAAGTGACTACTTTACTTCTCTTAAGAAGCAGTTATTTTGCCTTTGATTACATACTTTTAATGTGTAATCGATAAAGGCGCCATAATAATCGTATCAAAAATTTGTAGGAGATAAAAAAGTTGCAATTATGAATGGACATTTAGAAAAAAATCATAAAACTCATTATCGTGACAGAAATTTAAATTGGGGGTTTGGGGTGAATTAATTCCGTAAAATAACAACACCCTGTATATAAATGCTAAGATAATACCAGAGTATTGTATTGTAAAAAATCTGGTTATGCCAAACCCTAAAGGGTTTTCTGGGATATAATACATAAAAATAAAAAATAAAATTTCGTTTGATCTTTCCACATCTTGTATCTCGAAATCTAAGATTACACTAGTTTACAGCCATTTTGCCCACCATGTCTCACTATGATTTTCTTGTGTAGTTTGGCTCACTGGTATAGTTTTGGTATCGGCTCAGTAGTTCGATACTAGCGATTTTAAGTTGAAAAAGTCCTTTTGTTTTACAAAAATCGAGGTCAAAAATTTACATATCTTTCTGTCCTAAAGACGTTTCAAAAATTTGCTAATATTAATTAAGTTGTGATTTATTTTTAAAACAGTCATATAATTCATTTGTCAACCATGTAACCCTTATAAGAGGTTTTTTTAATCGTAGACACACCATGTAGTATAAAACACATTTAAAATTTATATTCTTGGGATAAATTATTTTTTTACTTAAAATATTTTTTGACTCAAAGAAATATTCTGAAATCAAACAAAATGTGATTTTATTTTTTTTCCCAAAAGGCTTTGATAAAATATTAATGTTATAAGCATTATAATGCCAAATTTATATATTCTACAGAAATATAATACAAAGTTAATTTGCTTTAAGAGTTTCCAAGCAAAATTAATTTAGTCAGTGGATTATTAACTGTAATACATTTTAATAAGGGTGTTAATATAATTACATGTAGGTAGTCTAAACTATGTTAAATCTAGTATAGTTCAAACCTCTCCAGTGAATGAAAATACTAATTCATACTGTATAAACCATACACTGAAAGAAATTTGTTGCTAAAAGTAAATACAAATTTATACTAAAAATTTTATACTAGTGCTTTACACATTTATACTACTGTTTATTATGAATGTATGGTAAATTTTGTAATACATTTATTGTAAAGAAGATATGTTAGATCTAAATAAAAATAAACTTACCCTTACTATAAAATGTAAACTATAAGTGAATTACAGCAAAAAAATATTGCTAGAAACACCATTTATATTGCTAGGGCAGCAATAGGCTGCTAACCAAACGAATATATTTGTTTTAGCAATGTATGTGGTAGTCTATATATGAAACATAAAATATATTTGCCCTAATTATTTTTTTATTTAACTTTAGTATATATTTCTTTCAGTGTACGTAATATGAATGCTAAACCGAATTTGATGAAATTTGGTACGGGGATAGTTTGACACTAGGGAACCTTTTTTACCTTTGACCTTTTACCCTTGACTGACCCTTTATTAAAATGTACTAATTACACGTGAACGTAACAGCTAGTAATTTTTTAAATGTAGAACTTTGATTGGTTATAATAAGTATATTTTAGTTTAAATTTTTAACACAAAATTTATAAGCAACAATGTTTTGTTTATTTTTTAAGGGTGTATAATATACACTGTATTTTAGAGCCAAAAAGAGGACGAAAAATCCTTTTTTCGATCTGACTCACCTTTAATTTGTTATTAATTAAATAAAGTTGCCATCTCAGGCTTGCTTTAGCAGAATGAATAGAGGTGCGATAAACTATAAAGAATGTCAGAAAACTTAACCTAAAAACAAAAACACTGACAGAGACAACAATACAATTAATACACTTAAATGCATTTTTTTATTTTTATTTCAATTTTCAATTTAGGTATTTAAAAATCATTATAAAAAACTTTTTTTATTTATTTTTATTTAAATTAGGTGCTAAAAATATGTTAAATACCTGAGCTCCCCCACATTGTTTTATTGTTGAAGCATTGTTGTTAATTAATAAAAACATTGCATTTTGGAAAACTGTAATAAAAATTAAATTATATAAATCGTATATTATTATCCGAGAGATAATGCAGCATATTCTCACAAGGATGAGGTTTGCATCTCGAGCCGTTAGGCGAGAGACGTAAATCATCCGAGTAAAGAATGCGCATTATTTCTAGTGTAATAGGTAAGCCTTTTATACTCCAATTAAGTAATTTTCATTGATAACAAAAATTTTTATAACCTCATTTTTTCCCGATTTTAAAGATCATTATAGTCGCCCCTCGTATATATAAACAAATCTGACATCTGTTAACCTTACTTTTTCCCAATTTAAAACCCGATTGGTTCATATAAATCAGCCAATCACTGATTCCTAACAACGTGAATATGGAATGCATATTATATGCATTATTCACGTTGGTAGGCCGGGCGGTTATATTGGTTTTTATTATTTACGAAAAAAACCCAATTAATGTCAATAATATGCAATAGGAGTAGAAAAACACATTTTTGTAAAAATCTGATATATAGCTATGAACTATCGTAGTGTGAATTGACCTTAATTGTAAAGTTGTCACTGTCATTGTCAGCGTTTTGGTTTTAGGTTAAGTTTTGACATTCTCATTATATTCTTTATTTAAATAATTCCTAATTAAGGAGTATTCGTCTTTTTTTGGCTCTACTATATGCCCTAGATATATTTTATCTTTTTTTACACCCTGTATAAATAATGGTCAGTAAATAATTAGTAATTGTAATATAACTTTTAATTAATACAATGGCAAAGGAAGTTAATCTACAAATTAAGAATTAATTTTTGCTTATCATTCTGTATGTATTAGTAAATCTTTATAAGCAATTACTTTAATTAAATACTATTTTTTTCATCCAACTTTGTTGTTTCCTTTGAAATTAATTTGCTACAAAGCATTTTTATTAGAATGTGTTTTTTTTTCCTAAACTCTTTGCGATGGTGTAACTAAAACTCTAAGCTTAACGAACGCTTAAAAAAACTACTAATAAAAATTCTAATTTATCTTTATTTTTTTTACTTTTTTTTACTTCCAGAGAAACAATGATAACCTATTTTATGTTCCAAAGCGTTGGCGAATTTAAGGCTTAAAATATTTTTAAGCGGATTATGGTATAAAAGCTGTATACAATGGAGTTTTCTGGATAGAATATTGATTGAAAAATCAATACTTGGGTCGGTATACTTACCTACCTAAAATTTCTCGTAAAATTTTATGATAACAAGGCAAATATACAGAAAAGTTTATGACTCAATAGTTAGGACTGAAACTGATAAGATGCAGAAACTTGTGCCCTATCTTATCCAAAAGATGAAATACTTATCCCTCGAAAAATATTCCAATTAAAGTTAAATGTATACCTACAGTAATTTAAATATACAGGGTGTCCTAAATCACCGGACCAAACGAATGCAAACATGTAAGACAAAGTTTTTTACCATTTTTTTCGAATTCTCAAAAAACATTAATTTTGTACTGGTATTTTATAGAGTTCGGAGATTTTTATTGGTTTGCGATTTAAATTTGGAAAAAACATGTTTTAAAATGT